CTCTTCTCCACTCCCCCTTCTTCTCCCGCCCCCTCTTCTTCTCCCTCCCCTCCCTCTTCTCCCATGACATATTTTATCTACTTTCTGCCATTCATGCCGTCTCAGAATACAAACTGTTACTCTAAAATACTCTTGATTTCCTGTATTAAAAAAAGAAAAAGGAAAAAAATATGGTTATGAATTACGTTTTGGTGGTTGTTTCAGCAAGTCACAGAAATCTAATTGATCTTTCTTATTCTTACTATATAAATATTCTGTTTTAGACAATGATTGCGTCAGGTCAGGTTCAGACATCTGTGAATGGTATGGTACTTCAGAATGGTCTAGCAACAAATCAAACTAACAACAAAGCAGCTACTGGTGAAGAAGTTCCACAGAGTATTGTTATTACAACAAGACAACAGTATGGCTTGCCTGAAGAGGCTGTGGTGTATTGCAATTTCAATCAGTTGTATAAAATAGATCCTCTAACTCTACAGATGTGGGTTTATGTAAGTATTGTGTGTGCTCATTTGCCTCTCTAAGAAGTGAATTGAGGTTTCTATAACTTGATATTTTAGTGTGATATATACATGAAGAAATGACCGAACCATAACTCAAATTTGTGGTACCATGTGAGGAATGTCCTGACTGTTTGCCAAAAGATTAATTTTCTGTGCCATGAAATCAATTTGTTTTTGTATTGTAAGCAAATTAGTTGCAACTAGTGAGTTACAGCAGTAAAACTGCTGTCAAAAATTAGGCTCCAGGACAGGAAAAACAGGCTGATCTGTAATGGCATTGGCCAATACTGAAGCTTTCTTCCTTGTCAGCATATTGTATGCAGTGACACTCGGAATATGGGAATTCAGTTGGATATCGTGCTAGGAGTAAAGGGCAGAAAAATACAATTAAATAGTTGCATTTTTCAGTGAAATTTAAATTGTTTCTTTGTCTTCGGATACCTCAATCCGCTTAAATTGCTTTAGAATGTTTTACACCAGTTCACAATCTTGGTTCTTGTTCTATATCACTCAAAAATTTAATTTTTGTACTGCAAACAAAGAAAACCAGTTGTTATAATTTATTACCCGGAATTGCAACAAATTTATATTTACACTTTCAAATTTTTCCACATGGTGCACATTTGGTAAATTTTGAGGTTTTCATTAATGTCTGGTCATAGTGTTATTTGACACTATTTGGTTGTGTGTTAAATCATGGTTTTTTACATTCTCATTATGGTACTTAAATGCATGGCACTCTCATTATGGTTTCTGCAAATTAGGTTGAACACTTTTTTAATGCTATTTCCTCTCCTCTCTCCTTCCCAGCTGTTTAAAATTTAGAAGTTCTTGTGTAATGTGTTTTTATAGATAACATATAGTAACCTTTTTTCGTCAATGGTTTTGAAAAAGTGGTCTCTTTGCTCATACAAAAATGTTTGGAAAGTTGTAATATGGTAAATTTTGAAGTGTAGGGTGTTCAAATTTTACCCTCTCAAGTTTTGTTATGTTTCGAATTTTATAACAATAAAAGTAATTTTGCATCATTTACACGTTTTTTTGGGAGTACTAGAAATGTGTGCCTTTCACAAAGTAGTTATGAAGGTTTTAATTTCCTCAGTATTGATTTAAAAACAAACTTAATGGAATAGTTCTTATTCTTAGTTAATTTGCTTATTTAGCTAGTCAAGACTTTCCTTGTGAATATTATATTTGTTTGGAAGACTTTCATTTTTGAAATTAAGTATTCTTTGTTAAGAAATTAGTTGAAGCCATCTCCCAGAACAAAATCCACTGAATATAATTTGTTTGAAATTTTATTCCATAAGAATTATTCGTCTCATGGATGGCATTGTCTTAGTAATGAAATAAATGATGCTTCAAAACAAGACTGGGGAATGTTGTGATTATATAAGGAAAAGATCGTGTGAAAATTGGAAAAGTAATTGTTCGTTATTGGGAAGAAAAGGTTAAATTACATCTCTTTAAAAAGTGGCGGCCAAATATAGGTTAAAATCTTTCATTTGAGAAAATTTTGAAAGTTTTAAGACATAAAAAAGGGTTAATTTCATTGCCACACTGGAAATTTTCTTGATCTTTAATAGTCTAAATAGATGTATTGTTATACAAAGTTGATTTATTACTACCTACACTGCGATTTATGCAAGTCTGCCCCAGGCAGGAATCAGCTGTTCAGTTTCATCCAATCGTGAGCTTCGTGACATCACTATGGTAATGTCAAACGTCACAATTGGATGAAACTGTCAACAGCTAATTCCTGCAACAAGATGTATGGTGGTACTAATATTTTATTCTGGTTTTTAAAGAACAATTCTTGTAAGTATCAGAGTTTGAAATGAATGGTTACAGATCCTGAGGCATGTACCAAACTCTGTCCTATGGCTGCTGCGCTTCCCTGCTGTGGGAGAACCGAATTTACAGGCAGCTGCCCAGCAGCTTGGTTTGCCACCTGGCCGCATTCTCTTCTCGAATGTTGCTGCAAAAGAGGAGCATGTGCGTCGTGGACAGTTGGCAGATGTGTGCCTTGACACGCCTCTCTGCAATGGACACACCACTAGTATGGATGTTTTGTGGACTGGCACTCCTGTTGTTACCTTGCCAGGTGGGAATGTCTCTGCATGGTTTTGCGAATACAGTGGAATCTCATTTGCACGTTCCCGGTTAACATATTTTCCTGCTTATTACATTCATATTTTCAAGGCCTGGTCCCAATTCTACCAAATTACTTGCTTACATGTTCAACATTCCCTCTTAGCAAGTCCAAACTTTATAGGTAAATTGCTCTGGGAGAGACGCAATTTCCAGTGCGCTAACGTCATATTCATTGTCCGTTCTTGGTTCTTTCGGGTACCACTTTCACTTTCTCCGATTCCAGATACAGAGAAACATCTTTTTTCTGTACCCTCTGTGCCATCTTCGTTGTGTGTTACCATGTCTTACTACGTATTACTCATTTCTTTCATGTAATAGACTTAAGAGACAGTGAGGTGACGTTTGGGCCTGCAAACGGGTGGGCCCAGTTAAAGGAGGGCATTTTTTATGGGATATTTTTATTTAAGGTACTAACACTACTTGTTAGCTATACACTTTTATAATGGGAGCCCAGATAAAAGTTTGTCGGGCGAGCCCACACTAATTTCGTTACATTATTGCTCAGAGTGCTTTGTGTTCGTAAAGTACATTCGATGCTACATAGGAAAGAAAAAAAAAGTTAAAATTACCAATGCAGAGAAATGGAACAGTATCCTACAACTGAGGTATACAATGCAATTTTGCAGTTATTTATTAGAGGGGAAAAAACTACAATTGATCAATTTTGCAAACATTTATAAAATATTTAATTTTTTATAGAAAAAATTATTAATATTAGTAACTTGAAGTGGTTTTTTATTTGTTGTAATTTAGTTTTATTTAATGTCGTTTACGAGTAAATTAATTTATACCATGGATATTTGCATGTTATTTATATATACACAAGTTTTCCGTAAAGTCTTGGTTTTGCTGACGATAATGTCGAAAGTAACTATGAATTGTGCTTTTTTCGTGATCTCATTTTCCTGCTTACGATGTTCAAAATTTCCAGCCCCATCAAAAATGTACTTACGAGATTCTTCTGTATTTAGTTTGCAATTACTTGTAAATGTCAACTAGCTTGGTAACAGTGATGAAAAATGTAAAAATTGTTAATTCTAGGGACTGTTTTTCCTTTTGGTTTTTATATTAACTAATAATTGAATGACAATACTAAAATAATTGTGTGCTTAGATGGCAAAATAATGTCACATTGTCATAACACGAGACACACAGAAACAAGTCGCTCTTCTTTGTTAATGTTTAGAAGGCAAAAGTTTCAAGGTCTGAGAAAGTAATTGTTTTAAATTTATAAGGATTAAATTATGATTATTTGTTCACCATTTGACAAATTTATTTAGTGATTCCTGTAACACAATTGTATGTTGAAGAGATGTAATGATCTTAACATTTTTTACGTCAACAGCAAATAGAATAAATTTAACATCCCTTATAATATCACTAACAATATTTATAAAATTTAAAAACTATAGGGGACACAGGTGGGAACCGTGGGTTACTCCAGATAAAACATTTATGGATTCAGAAGTAGCATTTCTAACACACATACTGTACACAACTCAACAAATAATGTTGAAATCTTTGAAGTAGAGATCTGCATATACCAACACTTACTCAAAAAATTGTAAATAAACTTTTTTTAGGAGCTAATTTTGTACAACGGACTGAGACAAAAATCTCTTATCTCCAATTTTGAGGTTTAAATATTTTCTTTCCATTTTTGGAAAAATCTGCGATGGTGATGAAAATGGGGCCAACAAAATATAATCAAAAAAGTTGGAGCCATGCTTTTGAAAATTCTGATAATGTCTCACTGGTGTTATGAAAAGTACCTCCAAAATTAAAATGTTTCAAATTCCAGGGTATGTGATAACAGCTAGAACGCCGGGGGAATATCAATTACAGAGAAAATCAGCTGAACAGTTTATGTGCTAGTGTTAAGCTCACACGGACGGACAGATGAGACAGACGCAGGCAGGCAGGCAGAGACAGACGGACAGACGCAGGCA